CAAACGGCTGAAGGGTGTCCTCTTTATCAGAAATCGGCTGATTCAAGAAAAGAGGGTCTAGGGTTTTTAATGGGTTAGGTCTAGGTTATTATGTGGGTTTAAGGGTATTGGGCTCAGGGAATGGGCTAAGTTTGAATTGGGTCCTAAAATTAGTCTCTAAGACTCTTAAAATTGTGGTCCAAATCTTTAGTTAACTCCCTTTAATATAAGATAAAAAATACTACACAATGCAAAAACTAATTCTAATTAAACTAAATTATATTAAAACATGTAATTATTATTTATTTATTTTCAAGATTATATAAACATAAATATAAGGTGCTATTTTTGTATTTTTCAATCTTATGAAAGGTAGATAAACTAAAAGTAACTAAATAAAGATCAATTAGCTAAATAAGAGAAAATATTTTTGTAATTTTTATTTTTGTGATAAAATAAAGTAAAAGAGTCAAATTTAGTTGAAATAACTATATTAGACCTAAACTAAATATTTAAATGTTAAAATATGTAAAATCTTGGGGAGGGTCAAAAATCACATGTCTACAGCTATTACCCCCTTACTCACCTCGAGCTCGTCCTCTTTGGTCTTTAGCACTGCCTCAAGCTCGCAGCACCTATTGATGGCCTTCATAAGCTCATTGTCCCTCTCCCTTAGCTCTTTATCTTTCTTCGTCAGCTCATCATCTTTCTGTTTGAGCCCATCACGAAGCGACTGAAACTCGCCATCCTGGCTAAGGAAGTTGGCTAGCATTCGGTTCTTATTACGGTATTCCTTGTACTTAGAGGTCATCTTCTTAAAAATGGTCGTCCTCCGCTCCTCCCGCCGGTCGCGCTCGATCCCCATAATAAGAGTCTGATACAAAATAACAAAGGGAAGTCAGTGTAAGCACATTACACGTACGAAATAAACCTAGCCTAACATGGAAAAGCACTCACTTGCATGGCCATGCCAGACATGCCCAACGACAAGTCCACATCATTCATCGTCTGTAGCGCCGTATTCTCAGAATCCGAGCACAGAGGAGAAAAAGCCAGCACCGCCCGTTCTGAGTTGGCCAAAAGATCGTAGTCCGCAGGGATGATTATGTGATGATTAGGACCCTCCGTCCTTACCTCCACGCGAGTAGCCCTTTCCATAAAGATCCGAATCTTCTCAGGGTCGATGTTCGAGCCAGAGTCGTCTTCCCCTACAGGAACAACTTCGCTCCCCCCCGACCGCCGACGATGAGCCACCTTCTGCCGCCCGAGTAAGATCTCCGCCATCACGAACCCCCTCAACCCTAGAGGGTCTCCTCTCCACGACGACACCTACCGTAGAAACGGCCTCAACGTCTGGTATAAGCACAGGTTCCGCTTCCAAGGCAACGAATTTTTCCGGCTCAACATTAGCGACAATGGCCTTCCCTGTCTCTACCCTTCGCCTTTTTCTCGACAATGTCTCCTCACCATTAGATGGTTCATCTACAAGGTGAAAGATGGGCTGAGAGGAAATCTCATCCCGCACGTTTGAGGGGTGGAGTCCGTCGTTGGCGAAGCTTGAGTCCGACCTCCTCGAGCCGACTTGGCCAAGGTAAATTGCATTCCAGCCGATGCGATAGCTTGGCGAAATGCAGGCACTGGAGCCCTCGTCTTCTTGGAAACTCGCCGACCTAGCATCAAAGGGAGGTCGCATAAAAAACTGGTAAACAACGATAAGCTGATGTAGAAATGGCACTTACTGGACGGGGTCTTGGGTCCAAAACGCTTGTGAAAGGACGCCCAATCACGAATTCCCACGGTATGGGGTAACACTCGAGCCACCCAATCTAAAATATCAAAGACGGGAGAAGGTGCATGCCTCTCAGCTGCAAGAACAAGGAAGCCGCGAGTAAGTCGAAAATGAAGGAATGAACGAAAATGACGAGCATACGGCGAGATACTTACGATTATAGTTCCACTGTTCGGGAAACCCAGCGGGATTCGCCACCAAGTGCTCGGTCTTGACGAATAAGTACTTATGCCAGAACCGCCGGTTCGTCTTATCATCCATCCCGGCCACCAACCCTTTGATCTCACGATGCCGCAGGTGTATCAATGTACCTTTATAAAAGCTAGGCTAAAAAAGTTACAGCAGGTGGCGAATGTTGACCTCACAACCGGCCAACTCTGTATACGTCGCCAACATCAGAAAAACTTTGTACAAATAAGGGGAGAGTTACGCCGGGCAGACGTTGTAAAATCGGCAAAATTCCTCCGCCAATGGGGGAGAGGAAGAGAATAACCGATTAAGAATTGATAGACGTAGAAAGCACAATATCCGGGTTAATAAACCTCTACGATGTCGCCCCCGGCCGGAACAATTTCGACGTGAGGAGGAATGCAATATTTAGACCGGAGATCGGCTATTTGAGGCAGTCCCGTCTTAGAGAGTTTCTAAGCAGGAGCGGGAGCGGGTTCCTTTGGGAAGTCGTGTCTGACCAAAGGGTTCTTGGGGACCACCTCCTCCACGGTAGGAAGGCTTTCTTCCTCTTCAACTATGAATTCCTCACTGCCGGGAGGAAGGTCCACCGATAAAGGAGTGATATCGGAAACTTTGTCGTGAATATGAGGGGATGTTGACATATTCACATGGTGAAACGAAAGCAACAAAGTCTGAAGAAGAAGATATCAACTGGGCAAGAAACCAGGGACTGGAATTGAAGAGGCTGCAAGATATTGAAAGCGGAGATTGAAGAAGAAGATCAAAGAAAACAATACACATACGAAATGAAAAATGATGAAAATCTTCGAAAAAGAAACCCCCTCCATCTATTTATAGGGTTGGGTGGCACCAGAATCGAAGCAAAAAGACCGTCGATGGCACCAAAATCGAAGCAGCAGAAGCACAGACATTACATTGGGAAGACGCGTAATGATGACGCGCGTGGCCATGACGTCACCCCACGTAGGTCATACCAATCGCAGCCTCGCTGGCTACGCCGTTCTCTTTTGACCTCGGCCGAGCCGACTCGATCAACGTGACCAAATTTCTTCTAAATAGACGCAAACCGAATCCGCTCATCGAGGACGTGCAAGATCGACCTCAACAAGCGGAGGGACTAACTGTATTGGTCTAAATTTGGACGGCTTGATAATTGCATATAAACAGGGTCGAGGGAGGAGTCGACCACTGCACAACGGCGAGGAGTCGTCTCAAGGAGGATTATTGCCGAGGTCAAGAGAATGTAGCAAGGAAGTAACGGTAGGATAGCTCAGCAATAGATATAAGGAATATTCCTTATGTTGTACTTTTTAGGATTTCCTAGGAATATCCCTTATAAATAGGAAGAGATAGAGAACAAAAGGGGGATCTTCACTTCTTGATAAGAGCACTTTGTAAAGAGTTGACTAAAGAGAATATACAAATATTGTCTTGTTCACTGACTACTTTGCTCAACATATATTATTCATTCTTTGTTTGTTAGATCCAAAGATTCCTTATCCATCCTCACTTTTCATCATTCCACGTTGCTGTCAGGAGAAAGAATCATCCAAGTCATCCACCATTTGGGGTGATAAATCCCTCCTTATTACATTTATTGCCATCATCTACATTTATTGTATGTCCATATCATAATATTTATTGATAATCATTGAGTGCATACCCGGTATCCAATATTCTCGAACGTTGTTCATCCCACTTACCTTCAGTATAAGATCTAGAATTTATTATATTTAACTAGGATTCACCCTCTATTTCATCATTAATTAGTTTAACAAAAAGCTTAAAACTTTGATCAAACACCTACTATTTGGATTTTGCTTTATAATTGCGCAATGCAACATGAAATTATAGAACTGAGCTCAAAACATAAAGCAAACTCTGTAATATAAATTTTTGAGCTGTGATTGGAGTTTTCAAATGGAACGGACTTAAAATAGAGTATCTAAGTAAAAAGTGTGGACAACTTTAAAGGGATATCGGTGTATTTGGCCTAAAACTAAATGTGCAGAATCCACGACCTCAATACCCCGCCAACCAAGAAAAGTGATTTGAGAACTTATACCACTCAAATTATTACTGATTTTGAATAATAATTTTGATTTTGCTTTATAATTGCGCTATGCAGCATGAATTAAGAACTGAATTCAAAACATAAAGCAAACTCTGTAATATAAACTTCGTACCGACCACTGACTGAGTTTATGATACGCAAGTTAAATGTATGTCTGCTTAATACAATAACCATCACATGAGACGTAACGTCTCAAACCGTATCAAATGTGAAGGGAGGATAAATTTAATTAGCCTCACCGTAACGTAACTATGAAATGTCAACTTTAAGTTTGATAGACACTACCATTGTATTTATTTTCATGCTCCTAGCTATCAATTTATCACAATCGACATCGAAAATAGTTTCCACACAATAAGCAGAAAATATAACAATGATAATAATTGTTGTTACTACAGGTGTTATTGTTAACTATAGCTACATATAAATAGAAAGTTGCTTGCGTGAAGGAATAAAACAAGAGTTTAAATTCTATGCGCTGACGTTGTATCAGGTCTTAAATTAAAGTTAATTACATATAACTCTAAATAATAACATGGATCGAGTGTATATAACTTAAACCTATAAAATTTACTACCAAATTTTGTTCGTGTTTCCAATATTACGAGCCTGCGAAAATCAGACCAGCCATATTCGTTGTAGATGTGGTTCTTTACGTACTAACTGAATTACGTAAACTCCTGATATAACCAAATTAATTGACAAGGAAAGGACCCAATCCAACCCCCCCCCCCCCCCCCCCCCAAAGTTCAAGAAAAGATGTAAGGTATGTATTTACGCAGCTTTATGGCCAAGTGACGCCATGTACTAGAATTTGATAGAGAATATTAACCGTTGACTAGATAAAACAACCATGTGCAAGATGACTTATAAAGAAATAATATGCAATTGTACGTAAAAACATTTACATTATAACACGAAACAATAGGCTCACTTTTCTCATTCTCAACTCCTATAAAAAGGTGTTGTCCCTAGTGTAAATCGCATCAACTCAAATACAATTCCAAGTATTTCAACAACACATTATTTACTAAATATCTCTGCATATATTCAAAAAAAAGGAAGAAAATGGCTCGATCACTATCTGCCATTTTCTTCTTATCAATGCTCGTATCAATGGCTATGGCCACAGCTCCTGGAAGTTCTTTAACGGCTGCCCCCGGCGGCCCGGTAATTACTCCACCTGGGATTGCTAACAATCCGAGCCATTCTCATTGCTCTGATGATGAAATTAAGCAATGCAAAAATCTACCTCATGTTTGTCCCAAGTTCTGTCCTAATGGCTGCATAACTGAGTGTCGTTCTTGCAAACCTATTTGCATTGATGGCCCAATCCCACCTCCCTACACCCCTCCAACTACCCCAACCCCACCTCCCTACACCCCTCCAACTACCCCAACTCCACCTCCCCACACCCCTCCAACTACCCCAACCCCACCTCCCCACACCCCTCCAACTACCCCAACCCCACCTCCCTACACCCCTCCGAGTCCAACTACATCTCCAAAGAAGGTTAAGTGCAAGAACAAGAGTTACCCAAAATGTTATAATCAACAACATACATGCCCTACCACTTGCCCTGGCACTTGTCAAGTTGATTGTGTCTCTTGCAAACCTGTTTGCAGTAAGTTTCTCTACTCCATATATACTTTCACAGTACACTATATCTTTTATACGGGTTTAACCATTATATCCGCTGACAATATAAATAATATTTGGTATAAGTAAATAGGTGTGGGTTCGATTTCCGCTAACTTTGCCCTTCTCCTTCAAAACCGTCCTATAAAAACAAGTAAATATAATCTTTTACAGTATCAATCTAATTAACCTGTTGCAGTAAGTTGTTTTTCTTATTTTTGAGGTAATTAGTTCCACTTGTTATGATCATTTATCTGTAATTATTTTTTAGACGACAACGTTTTAAGTGCATTATAGAAGTTAAACTATTTTTCTATTGATTAACGTTGCATATCAATGTAATTTAACTTACCATAGCAAGTTATTAGTTATCATTTATTCACGTTACTAGTTAATGCTTACGTAGAAAGTATTACAAGTGCCCTAATTATGCAAATTTTTTACATTATTAGTTCACATAACTTAAACTCTTCTTTCAGTATATATTTGTTGTTCTTGGCTAGGCTAAATATTCGATTACAAGATTTTTTAACTTATTGGAAACACAGGTTGTGACACTCCAGGAGCAGTTTGCCAAGATCCACGTTTCATTGGAGCAGATGGAATTACCTTCTATTTCCATGGCAAGAAGGACAAAGATTTTTGCCTGGTTTCAGATTCTAACCTCCACATCAATGCCCATTTCATAGGAAAACGAAATGAGAACATGAAGAGAGATTTTACTTGGGTTCAATCCATTGGTATCCTTTTTGGTACTCACAAGATTTCTGTTGGGGCACTTAAGACAGCAACATGGGATAATGCCAATGATCGCCTCTTCCTCAACTTTGATGATGAAACTATTGTTCTTCCCGACAACGAAGGCGCAAGGTAGTATTTAATTATATTACGCATGAGGCTGTTTTCCTTTCATGAATCAAGCATGCGAAATTAGCTTTGTTCACACTTAGCAGCTACTAAATTATCTTATATCTCGACAGGTGGGAGTCAGAAACTGGACCAACAGCCTCCATTACTCGAACCAGCAGCACCAACGAAGTCGTGATCGAAGTTGAAAACATTTTCAAGATTACAGCCAAGGTGGTGCCAATTACAGAGAAAGAATCCAAAGTTCATAACTATGGCATAACACAAGACGATTGCTTTGCTCATCTTGAGCTTGGATTCAAGTTTTTGTCACTCAGTGATGAAGTGAGTGGTGTTTTGGGCCAAACTTATAGAAGGAACTACGTGAGCAGAGTTAAAATGGGTGCTTTGATGCCGGTAATGGGAGGTGACAAAGACTTTGCAGCTTCAGGACTTTTTGAAGCTGATTGCTCTGTAGCTAAATTTCAAGCAGAAGAATCTTGGAATGAGGATTTGTTGAATTTGGAGCTGCCTAGCTTGAGATGCAACAGTGGGATTTATGGACGTGGAGTTGTTTGCAAGCGCTAGAGTTTCTTGATTGAGCATTGTTGCTAATAACTGACTAAAGATTTCTAAAGAGAATAAGGTTAGAAACCATGGGAATGTAACAAGAACTATTGCTCAATGGAAAAGTATTAAGTTGGCGAAAAAGAATAAGATCATTGTTTTTCTTTTGTAGTTGGAAAGTTGTATTCTAAGTAATTCACGGAAAAGAGCAAAGAATTATACTGTATTATACTTCTTCTTCTAATAAGATCATAGTTTGACTCGGCACGGAGTTTAAGGAAAAAAAGAAAGACTTTTGAAATTTGTGATCCTAAAAGCTTAAGGGGTAAAGCTTTGTGGGGCCATGGCTTTTGTGTGGCTATAAAAGTTTCTCATTAAGGATAAAATGGATAAAATGAGAAGTTTAAAGTTGAATTATTTCCAAATTTAGAAATGTGTCATTTATTTTGGAACAGACTAAAAAGGAAAGTACCTCATTTAATATAAAACGGAAGGAGTATTTCTAATTTATTCATGGAAAATGACAAAGTCTAAAGAAACAGAGTTGTGGGCGTAAGAAAGGCTACCTCTGGATAACTCAACTCAAAGGCTATGAGACCTAAGCGCAACCCAACTGCGCCCACCACCCCATGCTGTTGTTAACTACGGAGTAGCATCTTAAGACAACTAATCGTTTCAACTCAAAAAACTCTGTAAATTCCTTGAAACATACTAATTCATACTTTCCTAATGCAAGAAATGAGTAATTATTCGCGGTAATCAAAATTACAATATAAAAAAAGGGAATCTCATATAAATGTCCAAGATAAGTCCTAACTTACCAACCACTAGCCATTAATCATAGACTTACCAAAACTAGCAAAACACATATAAAAAATAAAAATCCAAATAAATAAGGTTCTTTCTCTTCAAGAATCACACGCAAAGATCTCCTTCCATATTTATAAGCGCAATCAGAAACATTAGATGCAAGATGAAAAGGAAATTCATGGATGAGGTAGCAAACAAGGTAATGAAATAAAAAAAATATATCCAAAAAAATTCCAAAAAATCTAAGCAAAAAAGGACTTTTTCAATGGGTATGACTGAAATCATTTAAAACATATAGATGAGTCAATATACAAAATTTGAGGAAGACTGGAGGCGATTTGGAATCAAAATTCATAGTTAAAATCGAGTTCGTAAAATACTTCTGCGACATATGTATCGAACATATATCACGCATGTATCACACACACAGGTGTACATGGATATACATGTGATACACATTTGATATAAATATGATACATATGTGATAAGCAGTGTGATACACATATTATTTTTTTCATGTTCATCTTCTACTTCGAATTTTCAATTGAAACCACCTCAAAACTCCGTCAAATCATCCAAAAACTGAGATTCAAACTCCTTAAGATGTACCCAATCTATTCTAATAACACCCACTCAAAAGAAAGTAAGAATTTGGCATTTTTTGGCTACAAATAGCTAATTGACTAATATTGCTAATAGGGGTGGGCATCGGCCGGTTCGGTTCGATTCATGAAGTTCGGTTCGGTTTGTTCAGTTTTCGATTTTTTATTTGGTGCACCAATAACCGAACCAACATTAGTTCGTTTTCTTCGGTTTTTGCTAATTCGGTTCGGCCGATTTTCGGTTCAATTCGGTCGGTTTGATCTTGTCGTATTGAGCTTTTAAATCGGACATTTTCTACTAAAAAATATGACTAATTTCATGTTTTAGTGCAACTAAAACTTAAAAATGTGATACTTATAATATGACTAGCCAAACCATTTAGTTGATGTAGGAAATATAAATTTATTTGACAGATATTACTTACAATATAACTATCTCATAGACAGCAACATTAGTGACGCGCAAGCAAACAAAGATGAAAGGTGCATTAGCAAAATAAAAGGGATAATTTTTAGAATGTGAGACTTTATTTGGGTTTGGGCTTATAATGTGAATATGTGAAAAAGTTGGGCTAGACAACTTAAGAGGAGCCCAGAGGCTAGGACCAATATTAGAAAATTTCGTTTTTCCGAAGTTGCAAAACCGAGCACCGAATCGAACATAGAAATGTCACGACCCGAATTTCCCACCATCGGGACCGTGATGGCGCCTAACATCGCACTCGCTAGGCAAGCCAACGTTAGAGTCCTATTAAACTTTTTCCTTTACATTTTATAGCTAAAACTAACAAAACTAAATCAAACGGAAATAATTGCGGATGTAAATAATAAAGCGGCCATCTATATACTATTAGCAAATACCGAACTGTTACCACCCAGAAACTGGTGTCACAACCCACGAACATTTTATGAATAACTACAAGTATGGGTCTGAAAGAAAAATACATCTGTCTCGAAGGAAAATAAAACAGAAATGTAGAAACATAGGAGGGGACGCCAGGGCATGCGGACGCCTGCAGGACTACCTTGGGTCTCCTAGATGAATGCTTGCAACCGACCTCTCAATCAGCCACAACCAGCTCCAAAATCTGCACAGAAAGTGCAGAGTGCAGTATCAGTACAACCAAGCCCATGTACTGGTAAGTGCCGAGCCTAACCGCGACGAGGTAGTGACGAGGCTACGGCAGGGCATATACAATATAACCTGCAACAGTATATAATAAAGCAAAAAGGAAATACGGAACGAATTGGAACAGTAACTTGCAACAAAGTAAATACGGAACCCAAACATCTTGCCAGTACTCAGCTATAACCAATCTTTAAGAGAAATACAATACTAGAGGAGTAAATCACAGCATAAGAAGAATACATAAACAACAAATGATGCGGCGCGCATCCCCATCCCACCATATAATCAGTAACAATATGAACATTCACCCTTATTACTCCTTGTTGCGGCGTGCAACCCGATCCCACCAGTCCACCCTTATTACTCCTCAATATATCACCCTTATTCCTCCTGTTGCGGCGTGCAACCCGATCCTACTTGTCCACCCTTATTACTCCTTGTTGCGGCGCGCAACCCGATCCCACCAGACAATCACATTTCACCCTTATTCCTCCTGTTGTGGCGTGCAACCCGATCCCACCATATCAGTACCAATCACACAATAAGAACAAGTATTTCACAATTTAGCTCAAACCCTCCACAACATTTATACCTCAAACCAAACCAAACGGAATCTATACGATTATAAAATCTCATCAATTATTACTACACAGCGAGACCAAGCAAAATGTATCATGAAACACCAATAAACCAACTTAGACAAATAATGTAACACAATGAAACTACGGAACAATTAATACCTTCAATAAAGAAAACAACACCTAACAAGAAGCAATAAGACATGGAAGCATCAATAAGCATGTAGCAGTTAAGACAGGAAGATAATATATTAGAAATGGGGAAGGGAACAAACTAAACAAATAATTTGGAGACGCATAGGTACTCGTCATCACACCTATACGCCACACACATGGAATTTCACATAGAAAATAAGTCGGGGATCCCTAATCCCTCGAGTCAAAGTTAGACCAAACACTTACCTCAATCCAACGGCCAATTCAAAGCTCAAATATCTCTTTTCCTCTAGATTCCACCTCCAATCCACTCGTATCTAGTCACAATTAACTTAATAACATCAATTATCGCTAAAGAAATGAATTCCAATGCATTATAATAGGTTTCCCAATATTTTCCCCAAAAAGTCAAAAACCGATCCCGGGCCCGCTTGGTCAAAACTCGAAATTCGGACCTAAACCCAATTACTCATTCACCCCCGAGCCCGGATATACAATTGGTTTTGGAATCCGACCTCAATTTGAGGTCTAAATCCCCAAATTTTGAATTCCCTAAGTTCTACCCAAAAATCCCCAATTCCACCATGAAAACCCTAGATTCTTGGATGAAATCTTGTAAAAAGAAGTAAAAGAGTGAAAGAAATGAGCTAAAAATCACTTACTTATGTTTTGGGGAAGAAGAAGTGTTTAGAAAATTGCCTCTTATGTTTTAGGGTTTGAAAAATTGAAGAATGAATGAAAAATCCCGTTTATATAGCATCCTCTGATCCTCACTACGCGGTCCACGAACTTCCCAGTGCGGCCGCGAAAATCTTCACCACGGTCTGCGAAGTTCCCACCGCGGCCGCGTTCCTCTATCGCGGTCCGCGAACTTCCACCGCTGCCGCGTTCCTCTACCGCGGTCCGCGAACTTCCACCGCGGCCGCACTTCCAAGATCCGAGACCTGCACTCTGCAACTATCCAATACCAGATTTTCTAAGTCTAAACATCCCGCAGCCTATCCGAAATTCACCCGAGCCCTCGGGGCTCCAAACCAAACATGTACACAGGTCTTAAAACATCATACGAACTTGCTCGCGCGATCAAATCTCCAATATAACACCTAGAACTACGAATTTAGCACCAAATTGCATGAAATTTTTTAAGAAAGTTCAAAACTTCTATTTTCTCAACCGAAGGTCCGAATCACGCCAAATAAACTTCGTTTTTTACCAAATTTCACAGACATGACTTAAATATTATATTAAACCTGTACCGGGCTCGGGAACCAAAATACGGGCCCAATACCAACAAGATCAAACATTAATCAATTTCTTTAATTCCTTAGATTTTCAGTCTTACAATTTTCATCAAAAATTCATTTCTCGGGCTTGGGACCTCGGAATTCGGTTCCGGGCATACGCCCAGGTCCTATATTTTACTACGGACCTACCGGGACCGTCAAATCATGGGTCCGAGTCTGTTTAACCAAAACGTTGACAAAGTCAACAAAAATCAACTTTTTAGGCCAAAAATTATTATTTCTTCCATTTTTTATATAAATGCTTTCCGGATACACGCCCCGACTGCGCACGCAAATTGAGGAGAGATAAAATGAGATTTTTAAGGCCTCAAAACACGGAATCGAGTTCTAAAACAGAAGATGAATTTTTGGGTCATCACATTCTCCACCTCTAAAACAACCGTTCGTCCTCGAACGGACATATAAAAGTACTTGAGCCGGTAAAAAGATGAGGATATCTGCTCCGCATATCGGACTCAGACTCCCAGGTAGCTGCCTCAACAGGCTGACCTCTCCATTGAACACGAACCGAAGGATAACTCTTCGATCTCAATTGACGAACCTGCCGGTCTAGAATAGCTACCGGCTCCTCCTCGTAGGTCAAATCATGGTCCAACTGGATAGTGCTAAAATCTAACACGTGGGATGGATCGTCGTGATACTTCCGAAGTATGGACACATGAAGCACTGGATGTACCGCTGATAA